CCCCCCTCCTCCCTCCGTAGGAGTCCACCCTGGACCCGTTTATGTTGAAGAGGATGTAACTACCCGTGTACTGGACGATGGGCAACAGTACCATCGGACAACTAACTGAAAAAGTACACAGACCAGCCCGCTAGTCCTAGCATCTATGAACCCTCCATTATGCTCTAAGGTACCACCGTACCGCGGAATTCCCGCAGTGCCGTGGCCAGTACCTGGCCACGTGATAAAAGTGAGACTCAGCAGATGGACAGTGGGAAAAAGATCACGTGAACTGGAGGCAACACATCACGTGACAGGAATCAGATCAGATTATTGGATGAATTATTGGCCAACGCACAGGCTGCCCGTGCGAAGATGCGTTTTTTGCATAATTCCCCGCAGTTTTTGTTGCTACCGGCACCGGCTTTTTCAACAAATGCTTGCTAAACAAATTAAGACTGGCCGCCAGAACTGTCCGGAAATACCCCCTTAAAATTTCACCTTTCTAGCTTTCCTGGCTTCTGAGTTAGTAGCTTGCTGGAAAAAAACTTCACGGGCCCGTACGTGGGTATCACGTATAACAAATGTCTGCGTTTAAGCTCGTTGAGAATTACGTGAACGGGGACATCTTAAAATTAGTCTTCTAACTCAGATTAGCAATTTGCCCGAAAAAAATTTTGGCTGGCCCGCACGTGGGTACCACGCGTACCCGGAGATTGGTTTGAAGGTCATTAAGACTTACGACGACAGGGAACGTCCCCGTAAAGTTTCAGCTTCTTAACTTTTATAATTCCCGAGTTAGCGACTTACTCGCGAAAAATTTTCACGGGCCCATACGTGGGTACTACGCATACCCAAGAGCTGGGTTTGGGCTCATCAATGCCTGCTTGAACGGGGAACATCCTCTTAAAATTCCAGCCTTCTAGCTTTTCAGGTCCCCGAGTTAAAGACCTATCCGAAAAAAATTTTGGCGGGCTCGTACGTGGGTAACACGCGGGTAAGAGCGCCTATTTCGGAGATGGGAACCCGTAACGCATGTAGATTAAGTTCCCCAAGTTTCAGCTCCATAGCTTCTGTGGGTCTCGAGATGAAAAATCGGTACAGACGAACAGCGCACATACAGGCACACACACAGACAACCTCTCGTCAATACGCGTTTTCTGTATTGCATAGTTGCAAAAAAACACATAAAAATACAAGGGAAGTTGCCAAGTACGAAAGAATAGGTTTGAAACGCTCGTTTGAAGTTGAGGGAAGAAGTGCAAAAGAGGGGACAGGAAAAGTTTCTAGATGCTGCATCAGTGGCGAAAAGAATGCCGCATTAATTATCATTGAATACTTTTACTTGATATTTCACAATCCTGCCATATTATTATAACTAACTGTAATGATGTGGCAAGGAAAGAAATGATGAAACAACAGCTGAACGAAATAAAAGTGTGGCAGTGTGCTGCATTTTAGACACATGGGGACTCTAAAGACATTGATTGGAAAAGAGCTGAGGCTTTGCTTGAAAGCAAGGAACGACGGAACGATAGGTGTCGTGAACGAAATTCTTTTTCCAAAAGACGTGCTGGAGCGGGAGGGAATCGAACCACGCGTCTTCACGCCCGTACGCAATGTGTTACCACTACACCACAGGTCCTTGTGCTCAAGGTTCAGCCTAACAGCACATTTACTGTGTATCTGCGTTTCAAAGCGAGATGCACCTTTCTTTGTATCTCTTTTTTTTTGTGTCTGCTTCTTGCTGAGTTTTGCGAGTTTTCCGCGACGATTGGAGATATCAGGGGAAGGAGTTTAACTGAATTTATGACGCTAATAAAATAATAGGTGCTGAGTGAAAGGTGGCAAGCTCATACTGCTTCTACTTCAAAATTTCACCGGTACAAAGAAATCGCCACTTTTTTTGCGAGTCTTATGATTTTCGCAACCTCTACTCAGTCTCAGAAACGAGTGCATTTTGCGTAGCGGAGAATTTCTAACAACTGCCTTCAATTCGTAAATTTTCTAGTTTCAGGCTGTGGTACAAATGATGAAGTATGGTAATGGGTGATGCGGAGGATGAGCACACATTTCTGTGTGGCTACCAGCGAACACGAGGATACGGCAGCCTGGCGAACCCGCATGCATCCACCAGAGCTTACCAGACGATCATTCGGCATCAGGTGGAACCGACCGACACCCTCCAGGGACTCGTCCTCAAATACAACACTTCGGTTAGTTGCTTTCTTTTGCAGAAGGTTGTGACAGTGGCGCCTGACGCGAGCTTATTACCCCACAGCCCTCGTTTGTTGGGTTTTAGCGATTTTAGGGCCTATTTTTGGTGCTTCTTGACGGATTTCAGCATCTGTCTTACTGCGAGGTCCAGCTGCAGCACTGAATGGGGATGTATGCGACTTAATGGACCGAAACATTCCAGTTCAGTTTTTTATTTTTATTTTATTTTTATTTTCATTTTTGCTTTTTAGTTACAACCACTTTCGTAACTATTAAATATTTAAATTTAAATTACATGTCGTCGATTACTTGAAGTGCGGTGTTGCAGATGAGCGAAATCAAGCGATTGAACCGTCTTTGGTCAAACGAAAGTCTGCATCTAAAAGAGAGCATTGATATACCCATTTATGATGTTCGCTGGCAAAATGCTTCGAGTCGGCCATTCAGAGGGGATTGGTCAGGTGGGGAAAGCACGGAGAAGGGTAGCGCCGAAAGTGTGCAGGATATCTTCAGGAGGATTGACACGAACATCCGGAATACAACTACAATTGTACATAAATTGTCCAAAAATTCTGCGTAAGTTTTCTGTCTTCTTTATTCAGTCCCATCCCACTGTGCTGTAAACTACTGCCGGGCTGTCATCTGTAGTTCTAAATATGTACCATATCTTCTGACTTCCCAAAAATGGTTTTTTGACTTATTTCTGAAAATCTTTAATTACAAAATGTGATGATCTGATATTCCGTTCATAAATCTTGCCACGAATCCTCACAGTTGTGCAGTTACATGAGTAAAGTTTGAGCGCCGATCAGATGGCCGTTTGATCCGTCCGTTGTTGACCGTTTGGCAGCTGTTTATGCTGTAATTCGAAAGGTGGTGAAAGGGGAGATGGAAGGGTTGAGTTAATTGGGAAATCAGTTAAGGTAAAAACAGTGAACTTCTGCCGATTTTACAAAATGTATTTGTTTTGATATAGTTTAGTTCCAAAAATATTCATAGTACACACCTACTTTTCTCACAAGTCTTCTTCATTTGTATCATTTTTCAGAGGCTTAGGGCATGCAAGCGGCTCAAAATTTCACGCTTACAACTTGCTTTTTATTATCAGTGGTTGGGGAAGAATTGTAGTACACTT